CCAGCTGCTGCAGAAGGTTTCCCTGTCCCTGGGGTTTGCCCACAGGAGCCCTGCTGCTGCTGGCAGTTTCTCATGGTGACTGTGGGCTGTGTTCTGTGTGCAGAGGTGATCCGGACGCGGCTGCGGGAGGAGGGCACCAAGTACAAGGCTTTCCTGCAGACAGCACGGCTGGTGGCACGGGAGGAGGGCTACCTGGCCTTCTACAGAGGACTCTTTGCCCAGCTCATCAGGCAGATCCCAAACACAGCCATTGTCCTGTCCACCTACGAGCTGATCGTGTACCTCTTGGAAGACCACGCAAAGTAGCAGAGCAAAGGTTTCTGTTACAGACTGAAGACCAATTTCTTCACTGAACAAATAGTCCTTTAAGAGACTGTTGCAGGTGGCAGTGCTGGTGGAAACACTACAAGTCTGTGACCATCTGTGGATATTTCCTTTTGGACTCATGCTTTCTAAAAGGTCTCAAGTCATTAATGTTAATAGTTAATTATAATTTTTTTTAACTTGATAATTAAACTACTACTAAATTAATTACAGTATTTAATTTAATTATATGTTTGTTCTTTTCCTTAAGCACAGCCATATGTGGTCAAGGAATGTACCTCATACTATCAAGTGATCTCTTGGACTGATGTTCATTAAAACTGTATTAAAACAGGAGAACTGGCTTGGACATTTGAAACTGTGTTCTTACAACTGGGTTATATTGCTTTTGAGCACTGTAATAGCCTAAGTGCCCACATAAGTTTGAGTAATTCTGTTTTTTTCAGGGTGCATCGTTCACTGCTGTGTGAACACCCTGGCGTGTTTCTCTGTTTGAGGGTATGAACTGTGCACACCAGCATCTCTTAGAAAAGCCACTTGCACTGGCAATGTGATGGTGGGAGGCTTTTAGCAAGAATGCAATTACAGTTCTGTGTCCCCTGTGCATTTGGGACACACGGTTATGGTAGTGGGGCTGAACAGATCTGTCCTGGCTTTCACACCTGGCTTTGGTGCAGGCCTGGGAGCACAAGGACAGTCAGTGACTGTGGCCTGGCTGCTCTGTGGGAGTTCCATGAGAGAAAGATTTTCAGCAGTTCTCATGATACAATTCTTACCTTTTACTTATAAATCAAATATCCTGCATACTTGAGATTAGTTATTTCAAAAACATTGAAATATGCTTTCATTTTAAATCTTCCCCCCCTTGTATTGCAGCAGCACCTTGTGACTAAAGTGCGGCACATGAATTACTGGTGATGGTGCAGGGTAACATTTGAGAACTCGCATGTAGGCTGCTGTTTTGCTTTGTCCTCACTCTGCCTGCTGTTCATTAGTGCCATTTGCTTTGGCAGCTGAGACAAACCTGCAGCATCTGAGCCCAGCTTTGGCCTTCCCTGCTGCTCATGGGGGGTGTGAGCAGCTGCTGATCCTGGAGTGGAACCAGAGCTGTGGGCAGCCCTGAGTGCTCCCAGCAGGGATGGGAGACAGCCTGGGAGGAGTGGGAGCCTCTGAGCAGCTGGAGTTCAGGTGGGATTTGGTGCAGAAATGGGATGGGCTGATAACCAGATTCCACCCTTCCTATTTGTTCCCAGTAGGGCCCAGCTGATGACTGGTGCTTGAGGTCAGGTTTGACATCAGTGTGATGTAGGAGCTCAGTGCAGAGAGAGTAGAGTGTGTGTGTACCTCATTATGAGGCAAAACTGCAAAAAATAACTGATTTCTATTATGTCCTCCTGGAAATAACTTATCACGTTCCTCCTAAGCTAAAATAGGAAACAGTTGAGTAAAAATTGACATGGCTTTTTTTTTTTTTTATGGAGATGATGAGCAGCAGAAGCTTCAGACTCTGTATAGGAGATAAAACTGTAAAACAGCGTTTCTATTTTTGAGAACTAGGACACTTGTGCTGCTACTCTCAAACATTTTCTGAGATTTTCTTTCCTAAATTAGCATTCCTCTATACTTGCAGTGCACTAGCTCTCTTCTAAAACGTTAGTGAAATGTGTAGACTGCTGATGTCTTCTGAGAATGAGGGGAGGGAACTCCAGGCCTTTTGAGAAGTCTGGGATTTGGTAAGAGAGAAAGCAAGAGAAATGGAGCAAATTTTTGTTTTGCCTAAATCTGATGGGAAATCAGGAATTCTGCAGGATTTTTGGTTTTTTCCTTTAAGCTTTGCTACCGATCCAGACAGAATTAGTCTTAATTTGATCAGGGGTTAATAAGCTATATTGGGAGATAATAGAGTTTCTGAATTAGTATAATTAAATCCTTTTTCCTTCCTCTCCCTAATAGAATTTTTAAAATTCACTGGCCCTTGATTCCTTAAACCCTGTAAAGAGTTACCATTTTTAGGTGATGCTCTGTGAGCAATCCCATTGATGTCACTGAGTATGGAATAAGCCTATTACCAGAGGGAAGAATTTGAAGTAGCTTTTTCCAAAACGATACCTGAATTTAAAAATAACCAACAACCTTCCTCTGCTTGTCAAAGTCAATCTAAAGGAATTTCTCACTCTTCCTTCCTCTTTTCCAGCTTCTACAGAAAGTCATTTCCATGGAAGGTAGGTAAAGGCTTCATTGCTAGACCCTTTGTAGCTTAATTATCAGTCAGGTGATGAAATCACTGCTATCTGAGGTGATCACACAGATTCCATTAACTTCATCAGGACTGTGCCTGTTTCCATTCATAAATTACCAGTTCAATGGAAATGACACACATACTGCAATATGATGAGCCACTCGTGTCGGTTAATTTCGTTTTGGAAGCATTTCTGAGCCAAGTCCTTACACTGTGGGACTTTAATACCTCCCTTTAATACCTGTGGCTGCCTCGATAGCCCTCCAAACACCTGCATTTGCTGGGAATTGTGTTCCATGTGCTGTGGCTCTGCCCCTCGCACAGGCTCCTCATTCGCTCCTTTGAGGAGGAAACTCAGTGTTAAACAAAGCACCTCTGCTTGGGCTGATGGCACAGACAGAGCTGAGAGGAAGGGAGGGATTTGTGTAGGGAGAACAGCCCAGCTCTGCAGCACAGCCCTGGAGCACACACTGGAGGGCTGGCTGTGCCAAAGGACTGGGTGGGTTGTTCTTCCTGCCTGCCCCAGCATTCTCGTAACACAATCCCTGAGTAATTGCACTAAACAATGGAAGGAGATGGAAAAATTATGTGCCTTTTAAATTTGTTAAGATGAAATATTCACTGTTACTCCGCAGAATTAATTTCCATGGTTATATCTCTACAGATGGAAATGCAACAGTGAAGAGCCCAACCATAGTTAAGCTTAAAAGTAGAGTTCACTCCCAGCACAAATATTTGTCTATGAAGACCTTTTCCATTTATGCCTTTTAAAAAACATGATGCTGACATAACCTGGAACTCCTCAACTTGAAGCAATTGTATTGTGCTGAGAAGGTTTTCCTTTGTTTCAATCACAGAAACAGCTACATAATTCCAGGGATGCCCAGGGCAGGATTTTAGGGCGTCTGTGCAGGAACAGGGGCTGGACTGTGTCCATTCCAGTTCAGGATATTCCAGGGATGCCCAGGGCAGGATTTTGGGATGTCTGTGCAGGTCTGGACTGTGTCCCTTCCAGCCCAGGACACTCCAGGGATGCCCAAGGCGGGATTTTGGGGTGTCTGTGCAGGCCGGGGATGAACCGTGTCCCTTCCAGCCCAAGATATTCCGGGGATACCCAGGGAGGGATTCTGGGGTGTCTGTGAGGGCCGGGACTGTGTCCCTTGCAGCCCAGGACACTCCAGGGATGCCCAGGGCAGGATTTTGGGGTGTCTGTGCAGGCCGGGGATGAACCGTGTCCCTTCCAGCCCAAGATATTCCGGGGATACCCTGGGAGGGATTCTGGGGTGTCTGTGAGGGCCGGGGATGAACCGTGTCCCTTCCAGCCCAGGACATTCCTCTCAGAGCCGCGGCGGCCGCCCTTCACGGGGCCTGTCCCCGCCGTCACACCGACAGCGCCGCGCTATATTTAGCAGAAGCGCTGTCCCCGGTGTGCGCCGGGCGCCGGGCCAGGCACGCCGGGCCAGGCACGACCTCCCCGGGCCGCCCCCGGCCGGCCGGGCCCGGGCCGCCCCCGCCGCCACGATCTCGGCCTTTGCGGCGCTGAGTCACGGCGGCCCCGGCGCACGACTCCGGCCCCGCCGTGAGTCACGCGCCGCCCCCGCGGGCCCAGGGGCGGGCCGGGCGCCGGCCGCGCCCCTACAAAGCGGCTCCGCCAGCGCCGGGGCAGCGCGGCCGCGCCGGCATGGACGGAGCCGGGCTGGGCGTCACCGCCTGCGCCGCGGCCGCGGGGCTGCTGCTCTACCGCATCGCGCGGAGGTACGGCCGGCGGCGCGGGGACGGCGGCCGGGGAGGGAGGGAAGGACGGGCGGAAGGAGGAGGAGGAGGAGGGAGGCTGGGCATGGCATGGCGGGATGCGGCCCGCGGCGGCGGGAAGGCGCCACGCGGGGCCCGGGCCCGCCCGCTGTGGGAGAGCCCCGGCAGGGCCCGGCCTGGGCGGCGGTGCGGCCAGGGCCGAGCGGGGAGAGCGGCTGGGAGCACAGACACCCCAAAGCCGGGAATGGCTTTGTGTGCCGGGCTGAGCATCCCAGCGCTGCCCGTCGCCTCTCCCCCGCTCCTTGTCCGGCGTCTTTGAGGCGCGGAAAGAGAAGATCCTGCTCCTGTGGCTGGTGGGTGAGGGATGGATTGCTGGGGAACACGCTTGTAAATATCAGAACTGTTAGCACAGTGATAGAACTAGGGGAGATTCTATGCAAGTCAAAATTATTGATTAGCGACCAAAATTCTTTGCTTACTTGTTTCTTAATTGCACAGAACGTTCCTGATCTTAGAACAAATTCAGAGCAATTGAAAGCCAGGTTTGAAAAGCATCAGGAGGCATGTCATGATTCAGATCTCATGAAAGGAGAAAAGCTTAATTTGACAGGTTCTAATCTGGCATAGCATGAAAGGAATGTAGGGATGTGTAGAATATAAGGATTTCAGGCTCTGTAGCAGCAATAGACCTTGCAGCCTGCTCATCTGTTAAGTGCCTCTATTGGAGACAAGCCAGTCCCAAGGGCTCCCTATGCTAAGGTTCACTTCACGTTAATGCTTTGCAAGAGCAGCATATTCCTGCATCCTCAATGTGATGCCTAAGGTTTCCTCTAAAGCTTTTGCTGCTTATTTATCCATATCAATGATCAATGGGACATTAGTCCATATATAAGACTTGGCCTTTGTCTGACATATTTAGGGTAGCCAGGAAATCCAAGTGGCCTAAAGGCAATTCCAGTGAAGCAGGCAAGATTTCTTTGACCCAGTTGAGGCTAGCGTGCCTTTAGAGTGAGGAGAGTGGGTTTGTTTTGCTGAGTTCATCAAAAGGTCTCTGGAATGGAAAGCATTTCTTCCCAAGTCCTTGAAGACTGCCGGTAAATTCTTTCAGGTGACCTTGATAATTCTTTGAAGCTACATGTTGTCTTTCTCAGTACCATCCTGATGCTTCCAAATTTCTTATTCTGCCTTGATTTAGTGAATCTTAGTCAATGGTAGTCATCAAGGAAGACAGCTTAATAAGGGGATGAGAGACATAGATATGATGCTGCCTTTGCTTTTTGTTTATCAAGGAGATAACAGATTTGATGTCCAGATAGGAACAGAGTCTGGGGTGGTTATCAATGAGTGTGTGTCCCTGCCTGAGCCCACTGGGCACATTTTTCCTGGCTGAGGGGACTGTTCAGATGTGCTGGCATAGCCATTTGAATAATTGCTTTGTGATCCAGTTGTGCCAGAATGAGACTGCTGCTTTAAATACTTTTAATAGAGAATTGGCTTTTTCTTCTAATCCTTGGTAACCCAGCGAAGAGCCGCACATCCACCAGTGTCTCTTTCAATACTACAGAAAAGTAAACATTTTCATCTTCTGACTTAAAGAGGATGGGGAATAGATGTAAATAAAAATATTTACAAATCCAGTTTATTATTGCCAGCACTTACCAAGGCGGACTGTTGTTCTGGCAATCCATTAGAAGCATGGACTTCAGCACGACCTTAAATGTGTGTATAAATGAGAAGTGAAGAGTGCTGGGAAGGAGCCTCAGTTCCTCCTTGTGTTACATGACAGACACAAACTAGTTGCTAACCAGTGTTTGTCAATGGGACCTGCAGAGCTGCAGCCTGATTTTTGTGAGCAAAATAAAGAATCCAGCAGCTTCTCACCAAGGAACAGGGTGTCATCTGAGCAATGTCAGACATTTAGCTGTTGATGCCATAACTGAGTTTGCTGCAGGTATTTTCCCCTCAATTTTGGCTTAAGCGTTTTCTACCTGCACAGCAGTTTGTGCAAGCCTGGGAATGTGTTGTGAGCCTGGCTGGGTGTGCAGGTTACACAGGGAGTCAGCTGTGAGTGGAGTCTCTCTGTGCCTGGAGTAACTCCATCTCTTCTTGCTGCCCAGGTTTTGGTGTGCAGGGAGGTTCTCTGGCCAGTGGAGCTGGCTCAGATTAGCGCAGTGGTAGATTATGAACTCCTCGGGGATGATTTGCCTTTTGATTTGTAAGGGATTGGGCACATGGTAAAGGCTCCATTTGTGCTGGCACTCTCTGACTTTGGAAGCAGTGTGTGCTTTAACTCACTGCCCTCAGCTGCTGCCTGAATTCAGGCAAGGTAAATATAGCTCCAGAGTAGTTAAATCTGTATTTGAGAGTCTTTCCAAATGCAGAACTTGTTTTTTGGTTTTTTTTCAACCCTGCCCAATTACTAGAAAATTAGCACCCTACCTACATGTTCTTGCCTAAACACCTTTCTTGTCTCCTTGTTGTTTTGCATTCACCAGATTGGGAATTTGGGATTTTTTGCACCTATTTCTATGGCAACAGATTATAGGTTCACAGAAGGAAGTATTATTGCCTTTTATCCTAAATAATCCAGGACTTAACCATTTGTTTTGCATACATTGCAAATGAGGTGCTGCTATTTAATCCTTGGTAGTACTTCCTGAGCCTCCAGAGCAAGAAATGAAATCCTGTTTGGAAAAGGCTGGAAAGGCCTCGAGTACTCTGAGGATTTGGTCTCTGATATTAGCGAGTTCTCAGGCAGGGTTTGGCACTGATGGATTTCCCTTTGTAGCATGACTGCTTTATTCATTTCTTCACCTGTGCTTTCCAGTTCTGTCACCCTTGAAATTAGTGCTGCTGCCTCTGCCATGCCATGCAATGCAGAGCCTGGGGTGGGCAGGGGCTGAGGGGTTTCGGTGGTGCCACAGGAGGGGATTGGGGTGGGCACGTGCTTGGCTTTTGGACAGCAGCAGCTCATGGATAACTCAGACACCAACCTAGATTTGTCTGCTTTAAACTCTGGGCTGGTTTGGGGAGTTTTTTTGCCTGTTAGTTTTAGCAGTGATATTTTTAACTCAGATCAGTTGAGCCCCCTTGGCAGTGAAGAAAGTTGAGCAGGGAATATTCATTTTAAGGGGGGTGTGGGTGTTTGCATCTATTTTGAGATGAGAATCTGTCATCCTAGTAGCTCCAGCCATTTTCTTTCAGCATCTGGCAGGGAATCCTCTGTACATTCTGACTTTACAGTGCTTCATTTCAAGCATATCCTCATTGTTAGTGCCTAAACAGGAGGCTCAGACATTGCTTGAGGGTTTGATGTTTTATGAACAGAGTTTCAAGGCATGCTCCATGGTAATGTGAGTGGGAGAAATGGTTGCTGTTATTTGCTCCCCTGCTCTGCTGCTGCAGTGGAGCCCCACAGATTCATTATTCCCTGGTGGAGCTGGGCTGTGGCAGCTGTGTCCATCTGTCTGCATTGCTGCCACAGCCAGCCCTGGGCAGCTGCCCTCCCTTGGAAATGGGACTGGGGCTGATGAGCCCAGACAGCTGGGCTGTGGTGCCTGGGCCAGGGAGCTCCTCTTGGGCCTTGCACTGAGCTTTGAGACAAATGCAGAGCTTCTCTAGCAGGCAGGCTCAGGGATTGGGCTGCTGAAGGTCTTTGCTCACACATCTGTCACAACCTGTTTTGGTGGGGCCACGTCACAGCTGTTTGTCTGTATTGGCTGTTGTTTTAACAGGATTGCTTTAGAGAACAAGGGGCTCATGGATCAAGGTCATTAGTCTTTATCCCTTCAGTCCTAGTGCATAAAAGCAGGGAATGCCCATTTCCTGGGTTTCTGGGCACCCTCACAGGCAGCTCCTGTGGATCCTGACTTCCTTTCCCTGGAATCCTCTGTATTAAGCATCAATTCTACTGCACCTTCTCATAGAATGGCACTGCTGATTATGGAGAGGACCCCCAGATATGCCCCTGAAAAACAGTGAAGTGGGTAAATCACAAGGTTGTTATTGAAGTTCTGACATGTCCATGGTACTGGAGCAGAGGGATGATTGTCAGGCAGAATTTATTTCTGCTTTTCATTGCTAAAAGCACTACTCCCAGTCATAGCATTAAGCACACGGAATGGGAGGATTGGCTGTTTTCCTGCATTTCACTGTTGGGAAGCCATCGCTCTCCTCTCCACCAGCTGAGCTGAGGGCTCCTGCCTGAGATGTTTGTTGTCCCCCCCAGGAAGAAGCCCACGCACGTGACGGTGAACTGCTGGTTCTGCAACCAGGACACGGTGGTGCCCTACGGGAACCGCAACTGCTGGGACTGCCCCAACTGCGAGCAGTACAACGGCTTCCAGGAGGTGCAGGGGCTGGGACAGGGGGTACAGGGGCTGGGACAGGGGGTGCAGGGGCTGGGACAGGAGGTACAGGGGGCTGGCAGGGCCTGGGGAGCCTCAGCAGCATGGGGCAATGAATGGACAGCCAGTACAACGGCTTCCAGGAGGTGCAGGGGCTGGGACAGGGGGTGCAGGGGCTGGGACAGGGGGGACAGGGGGCTGGCAGGGCCTGGGGAGCCTCAGTGGCATGGGACGGTGAATGCACAGCTGGCTGCCTGTGCCCAGCACCCGTGAGCTCAGCACCTCAGCTTGGAGAGAGAATCCTCTGCACTGGGTTGTGCTGACTAGAGAGATCGAGACAGATGTTCCTGTCTTGCTTTAAAGGGCAAAAGTGGCCTTGACGTATCTCGTAAGAATACTTATTTTACTGTATGGAACAATTCTTCTCTGGTTTTGTGTTCTGTTAAATAGCAAAGCCTGTCTTGAGCTGAAATCCAGCACGACCAGCTGCCTGAAATAGGTGTGCAGGACAGTGGAGATGGGGGAAGATGTGAAGCATTTTGCCTCTTTTTTTACTAATTTATTTTGTTACATAGGTGCATGCTAATGATATGTAGAGCTGCTGACAGAACTTAGGGAATCTTACTGTCAACCTAGCTGTGATTTTATGATTGAATGTTTGCTTTTCCCCCTGTTTTTTATCAGAATGGAGACTACAACAAGCCCATCCCTGCCCAGTACATGGAACACCTTAACCACGTTGTGTCAGGCAGTCCGACTTTCTGTGACCCTACCAAACCACAGCAATGGGTGAGCAGCCAGATTCTGCTCTGCAAGAAATGCAACAACCATCAAACCATGAAAATCAAACAGCTGGCTTCATTCTCACCAAGGGAGGAGGTGAGTGTTCATTAGGGACTGCCACCATTGGAGAATGTTTGTCCAAGGCATTCCCATCCATGCATCTGTTTATTCCATGCTGCAGCCTGGGTAGCAGGAGAGAGAGCATGTTTTCAGTGTGCTGTGGAATGATGTTCCAACAGTCTTCAGAAGCACGCTGTGGCACTCCAGTGCAGAGAAGTTCAGTGATTAGTGTTGTAAATTTACCTAATTCTACTTCAAAGCTGGAATGTTCCCCTGTTCTAGATGAGCACTGGAAACTGAAGCTTGAGCCCAGGACATTTCTGAGATCATCTTACACCTCCAGTACTTCCCATGGCTGAGTTTATGGGACCTGAGAGGCACAACAGCCCAGCAGTTAACATGAAGCCTTAATAGGTTTTGTTTTCCCGAGGCCCTGGCTGTGCTGCTCTGTGTTTACAAGTGAACTGGGAGAGGAATCCTGTGCAGCCACAATTTCCCTGGTTAGGCATCTGTGCTTAGGAGGCCTAGGGATTTTGCAGCTACAGCAACAGGATTTCCTGTTAAACAACTTCTTGGCCTTCCCATTACTTAATATGCATGGAGGAGGGATAATGGGGTTTCTCCTTCACGGTTTTATGGCTCCCTAAAGATCTGTGCAGAGAATTTAGTGCTGCATTCCTTGGCATGGTGAAGCCTTGGGGTTAGACTGTGCTGTAGTGTGATGTGTCCTTCTCTGGCTTGCCTAATCCAGTCTGCTTTGTGTAATTATAATGAGTTTAATCAGAGTGATTCCTGTAGAACAGATTGAAATTTGATCACGCTTAATGAGAATATCTTTGGCTGGTGCCCTTTTCTCAGCTTTATTTCTAGTCCCTGCCTCTTGCCAGACCTATCCAGTTGCCCAAGTACTGCCAGCCTTTGGCCCCTTTTTAAGCATTCGGTGAGCTGCAGTGCTTGTGCCAGCTGAGAAACCTGGGATTGTTATCCAGTGTGCTTGGATAGGGGTGTCAGTGACAGCAGGGCTGGCTGCTCCAGGGAGGGATGAGCCTGGAGTGAAGGAGCCACAGGTATTTTGTGTCCCCTCATTTGAGGAGAGGAAGAGCAATTCTAGTTACTTGTCTCACCTATGTAGTATTCAAAAGATCTCAACAAAGACAGCAAAATTGGGCACGGAAATTCAACATCCTGATGTTGGGCCACAGCAGCCTTCTCCAGGGCTCTTCTTTGCCATCCCTTCTGGGACATGGAGGCTGGCTCAGCTCTGTGTGAGGCTGGCTCTATGGCTGGCCTGCAGCTTGGTTCAGGGAGCTGTTTCTGTGGCACTGGGGTCAGGCTTTGCCCTTCTGTCAACAGCAGTCATGACAGCTGGTGAGGCACCTGCACTTCTCACCCGTTTTCCCCTGCTGTTCTCTGCCCAGGGCAAGTACGATGAGGAGATTGAGGTGTACAAGCACCACCTGGAGCAGACCTACAAGCTGTGCCGCCCGTGCCAGGCTGCAGTGGAGTATTACATCAAGCACCAGAACCGGCAGCTGCGGGCGCTGCTGCTCAGCCACCACTTCAGGCGCCGGGAGAGCGACAAGAGCTACAGCCAGGTACGTGGGGACAGGGACAGGGACAGGACAGGGACAGCTCTGCCACTGCACCTGCAGCTGGGAAAGGGGGGAGCAGCCTGGCCTCTCCAGCCCTGGGAGCTTGCTGCATGCCTGCAGTTTAGGAGAGCACAGGAGAGTTGCCATAGAAGCTTCTAATGCTAGTTTGAGGTTTTCCTCATTCAGCACAGTTGCCAGAAGGTAAGACTAATGTAATAATAGAGTGGAAGGAAAATAATGGGACAGGCAGAGAAGGGGAGGTAGGGAAACCAATTTGTGAGTGCAGTGCAGGAAATTACAGAGTACAAGGGAAAAAAAAAAAAAAGAACAATGGGAATTGAATTATGACCTTCTCCTTGTTTCATTGCCCTGCCTGACCTTGGCTTCTGTTCATGTCTCTGCCATTGCTCCTTGCTAGTCTACAATAATCCCACGTGGTGTCAGCCCAGTACAGAGACTTAGAAGGAGTTGAGCAGAGCAGTCCAGCAAACCATACAGTCTGGAAGTGTTTCATACAGCACCATTTCAAAACCTTGCTGCAGTTCATTCAGCTCCTGACAAGGCATTTCTCCTTTCCTCTGCAGAGCCTGTGTTCATCCTCATCCACTTCCATCCCCACGCCAGCTCAGGTGATCCTCCTGCGGTTCCTGGCCTTCCTCAGCTGTGCGTTCCTGGTTCTGATGGCCTTGTACGGGTCAGGGGACCCCTTCTCCCTCAGCACAGCTGTCCCTGCTCCTGGCCCCGCTGGCCCCATGTGGAACAGGACTGGCGCCAGCCCCCGTGCGGGCGGTGGCAGTGACAGTGACAGTGACAGTGACAGTGACAGTGG